AGCAGGAATACCTGTTAGCACTGGATCGTTTTGTAGGGAGAAGCCTATTTACATAAGCATTAATGGGAAAAGAATGTTACAATTATAAGATTGCTCAGTGCTGAGCCAATTTACATCGTAATAATGCTTGGAGCCCTGCAAACATTAATGAGCATGCCCCTCCTTGCTAGCTGCCAGTGTCCATGAAAATATTATTGCTGAGCCCATGGCAAAATCCAGGGGCACTCACCATTAAGAAGTGATCTGTATGTCTGGAGTAAAAATAGCTTCAGATGCAGGGGAAATATTTTGACTGCATGCTAATTTGGCAAAGATTCATGAGATTCAGACTTCTAGGAAATTAAAAAGTGTCTCTAAGTGTGGTGCAAAATGAACAGAATGTCTGCTATCTGCTGAGCACAAGGGCTTTTTTGATCTTCCTCACATTGTATCTTGTTCATTGTGGCTTTGACCCTATTATCTGCTTTACCAGCAGGGGAGTGGATGTTGCTTGCTAGTCATTTTACAGGCTCTTCTCTTGTGGTTATCTCTTATGGTGTTTTATTTCCCATTTATAAATGAGTCAACTAAGGCGGTGATACCACATCAGTGCTATGATGCTCGTTATTGCTAATTTGCTTTTTATTTCATTCCACTGCTGTATGAGCAGACAAGCTTCCACTCATCAGCCCTATCCTCCTCTGTCCTTAGAAATACAACCTACTGCAGCAAAGTTGCGTTTCCCTTGGAGGTTGTTCCAAAAGACCAACATTCTTGTGTGAGCCATTCAGTAAAACCCACTGAACAGATGTTCTACTTGGAGGACACCAGTGAGATCATATGTCCAGATATTGATGGGTTTTACCCTGCTAGCATAACACCAACTGTCCAGTGGTACTTGGTAAGAAGGACTTATCTGGGTCTTGGGGGAATGCAGTGTTGTATCTGAAAAAGCAATAGCTGGCACAAGATTAATGGAGCTGTGTTTTGGAGTCTCTCCAGTGGTGAAGCTGGTAATGAAACTTTACTAATTTTAAGAGCTTTGTTTCCATTGACTTCAAGGGTAAAAGTGCTCCGGGAAGGGAACTGAGAACTAACACTGAAGCTTTTTTGACCTGGTGTGCACAAGTGGAGAATATTTTAGTAGGGATTTAGGAACCTCAGTTCAGCTGCAGACAGTATACTTGACCTGCTGCATGAGCCAGTCACAATCCCTGTAAAGGAAACTGTGATACATATTATTTCTTTTTTTATTATTATTATTTTTTTAAAACAAACAAACCAACCAGGTCCTAATGAAAAATACATCATTTAACAAAATCCTTTGAGGTCAGGAAGTGAAGTTTATATTGGGCCCCTGCATGGGTGCCCTGTTTGACCCAATTCAGCAAGATTTTTTCTGAAGATGAGACACACCTACCCCACCCTCTGTAGTGCTCTGATAATTAGGCTGTCTCCAGCCATCCTCAGGCTCTTGCCTGCAGAATTACTACTCAATTTTATGAAATTTTGGCCTCAGTGTTTTTCTCTAGGTGGATGCCTTTATTCAAGAGAGAATAAGAATTATCAGGGGATGTGCAGCCAGAAGGTTGTGGGACTGAATTATCCTTATGAAGTGCTTTTGAATTTCTTGGTAGAAGGTTCTGTCTGAGTGAATTTAATAATAAAATAAGTTTGGAACAAATTTATCTACTGTTTTAAAATAAAATAATAAAAATTAACACGCCAAAAGAAAAAAAAAACAGCTTTAAAAATCTTCATGAAAAATTCACTTTTGTTTCCAAGAGAAGCAGTTTCACTCCAGTAGTTGAAATGCTTTACTAGTACCATTTATTGAAATTCTCATCTCGACAGTCAATTAGCAGAATGAAACAAAAAGCCCCATGGAAATAATTTTTTAGGCAGCAACTCGTCCCATGCCTAATAAAAATCATTAAAAATGGTATATGACTCCTGTCTTAAACTGCCCCATTAGTATATATCTGGTTTGGAAATACACCATTCAGAAATAATATCTCAGAAAATGTGCACATCTTTAGTTTTTATGACAATCAAGCTGTTATCTGCATAACACTTTTCAGAAAAGGGGTCTCTATCTTGGCACTTGGCAGAGGTTTTCTGCCTCTCCTGACAGAAAGAAATGAGTTAAGGTTTCTGTGCTACAGATTCTTGCTAGCCATTTGCCAGTTTTGAGGCCTCATCCTCAGCTGAAGCCAAGGTGGGTAGCTTGATTAGTCCCAAAAGAGTGAGACATTGTGACATCAATGGGGGACACGTCCTTTAGTCTTAGTATCCATTTATGAATAGATCAGCATTTTCTTCCTGTCTCTTTTTACTTTCACTCTTCACTCTGCTGAGTTGCTTACCTTGATTTCAAATGTACTTCTGGATCAGAGATCCCTCTTTTACAAAACTTTCTGCATTTAAGATGAGATAAAACTACGAGGGTCATCTGCATCATCACCTCTTTTCCAAGGTGAACGTGCCAGTCTGTATTCCAACATGCTCGAAGTTCATGGTGTTTAGGTCTGACCTACAACACAATCCCAAGTATAATATTAATAATTTAAAGGCAGATATTTGTTGTAGCATTAAACCAATATCTTTACTCTTGAATCACAAAACTGAAGTGTTTTTCTGCCTTATTCCAGAACTGCAACTTGGTGGATGGCTTCTATGAGCGATACGTCCATGGGCCCAGGCTTGTCATTGGCATTGTCCGCAGTGTGTACAGAGGGAATTACACCTGTATTGTGACTTTTAAGGACCGTGGAAGAACCTATACTCTCACCAGAACCATAAATATGAAGGTGGTGGGTAAGAATGACTTTAAAATCTTGCAAAATGCTGGTGGATAACTGCAGAAGTGGTGAAAAGAGCTAGAAGAGTCCCTCAGGGGAGCCATTTGTGGTTGTGCTTAATCTGCATTACTTAGCTGACCTGGTATATTTTTGCTTGCTGGGGTCAGCCTCATATGACTACCCAGGACATGCTGCAGTGAAGGTTCTGCCCACCTCTATGTCAAATGCCCAGATAGCACAGAGGGTGACCAGGTTCAGGCTGCTGAGGTACAGGCTATGAGGTGGCCAGGGGTACCCTCTGCTGGCATGTGAATGCATAACCCTGGCTGTGTCTCCAGTGCCCTTTGCTCATCATTATTTGTGGGATTGTCCCATTATAGACAACTTGTCTCAGTGGTCTTGCAGTCTCAAAGTCTTGTGTTTCTGAGGCTGAGACTGTTAATCAGCCAGGCAGGGCTCCAGTTACCCAGCCCAGTGCTTGGACAGGTCTGTCCCAGGCACATGGGCTCAGCTTACCTGCCAGGGAATTGTAGACAGAGATTAAAAACCTGGTGAACAGTAGAGCATGTGCTGAGTCCCATGGCAACATTTGCTTTAGGGCTGAATTAAACACTTGCAACAGGAAATTATGTTATTGTATTTTAGAAGCAGCAATGAAAAGAAATTGGTACAGGTTGTGTCTTGCGGGAGATGTTGAGCGGGAGGTGAGGGGTGTGGAGCTCTTCTGATGAGAGAGCCCAAAAAACTTGACTCACCCTAAACTTTGGAGAAGCCTCAAAATATGGGACTGGCCCTGAATTTGTGAAGTAGTATTAGATTTGTCATGGAACTCTGCAGCAGAATTGTATCACAAGTTAGACTGGGGTGTGTGCAGCAGGATTCAAGGGCAGTAGAAGTGAGGCTGCAAGGATCCCATGTTCTCATGAAGTCTGGGCCCCATGAGGGGCTCTCTCTTCTCTCCCACAGGATCTCCAAACAAGGCCTTGCCACCACAATTCGTCTCACCAAATGAGAAAGTTGTCTATGAACTGGAAGCAGGTAAACTGCAATGCTGGCTGCCTGCTGTGGCTGCCCTGCCCTGCCCTGCCTGCTGGGATGAGGAGACCCAGCCAGTCACAGAGGCTCTCCTCTTCCACTGCATCTCTCCTGCTTTCCCTCACAGAGCACACAAGCTGCCACGACTTGCCTGGCAGGCAGTGTGGGATGCCAGCTTTCAATACCAGAATAGGAGAGCACAGTTTTGTAACTTTATTTTTGCAAGCATAAATAGACAGTCAGGGATGGAGGTGCAAGACTGCAGCTGCAGAAGCAGGTAAAATGGGGACCCCCTCAGCTGCTTAGAGAAATTCCTGTAGGACCTTGTCTCAGCCCTGTCCCTGGCTGTGGTTTGCACCAGTCCTCCCTCATTTGGCCTCTCAGTGGCTTCAGCCTTCTGGCTGCTTCTTGCTCATCTCCTCTCCTTTTTTGGCTTTTTACTTCCTAATTGTAGCAGCTCTCCTTTGGCTGGCCTCACAGCATTGTGTAATGGGGCACCACACCTCTTTCCCCACCCCATTGGTTTAGACTGCTAGCTCTTTGGAGTAATTCCATATATTGAATGTCTCTTGTACCATTACATTGCTGTAATAAATGTGGTGCCAATAACGATGATTAGCAGAAAAATCTTCACTTTTAAAGCACAGCTTTTCTGGCTCTGAAAGACAGACTTTCTTCCATAGTCACTCTATAAGAAAAAATCACTTAAGGGCTGGTCACAAAGATTTTCACTCTCCCAAGTTTGATCTTGAGGGGAAGGTAAATGCCTGAACAAATTTTTCCATACCTAAGTGTTTTTATGGATCTGGATCCTTTATGGCATCTCTCTCCTGTGCAGTGGGAATGATTAACACTGCCTGGCTTTCCAAGGAAGCTGTTAGCATGGAGCATTTCCCTTTAGCTTGGGTCAGTTGGTGCAGTGAAGGAGTTTGTAACACATTTGTGAAAACAGGATGGTTTTTCTTATTGATTTGTCTGTTGTAAATTGGGTCTGGTGTGTTAAACTGTTAGCAGGTGTCTGAAGGCAGATGCTGGCCTCATTCCCTCCTGAAGGGAGACAGATCTTAGGCTGGTAGGATCACTGGGAAGCACAGAAGTCAGGATGATGCTGTTCCTTTCTTCCTAGGAGACGACCTTGTTCTGTCCTGTGAGGTCTTCTTTACCTTCTTGAAGGACTCCCGAACTGAGGTGTGGTGGACCATAGATGGGAAAAACACAGATGACATCATGGACCCCAAGATAAAAGTAACACAAAGGTAACATAGCTATGTGAACCTTCATTTGTATCTAACCTTCTCTTGGGTACTGATGGGGGGTGAGGGTGCAGACATGCAACAGTCCCGTTTTCACTTGCAAGGGAGTGTGGAGTCCTCCACTTCCCTGATAATCAGAACCCCCTGTGTCTGCTCCATGCCCTGATGAGCACCAGGAGATCCAGGGAGGAGGCCTCCAGACCTGGACAGTGTTTTTTTTGTACAGAAGGATTTGAGGGAGCTTTGTGTGCCAGTACACATCTTCATCTGTTCAGATCCTGGTCCTGATGCAAACAGCTGGTGCTATTGTGGGACTTCTAAAACAGGGGCAGAGACAATTTTATTTAAAGGAATGTTCCTGAATAGCTTAAGTGATAAAAACAGTTTCAAAAAACAGAGGCTGAGAACAAAAATGTGGTATCATACGTAGTATTAATTAGGAGAGTAAATGTTCCATTACATGATGAACCTGAAGAAGTTCAGAGTCCTGTTTGGTGGGTGTTGAATTACTTGTGGAAGGCAGTTGCTGCCCCAGTTGGTTTCCAAACCTGTGTAGAAAAAGGAAGGGCAAGAGCAAATACTATTATCCCCATTTTGCAGATGATCAGGCAGAGAGGGACAAAGCAACTCATCCAGGATTGCACAGGGAAAGTAACTTGGGCTCTGAATCGTGAGTTCATGAGATCTTGTTGCTTTGTAGGCAAGAACTTTCTTCATCTCTAAAATGCAATTTGACACAGCTGCAATGAGAAAACTGGGAAAATAAATATTAAGGAAAATCAGATAAAAGAACAGCTGCATCTGTATTAAAATTTGAAGTGTATATTGATTTATAAATAACAGTTTAGGTGTTTTTGTTTCATTTTTTAAGAAAGAATCGGGTTATATCAGACACAGGAGTATCTGTTGCTAAGAACTTGCTGCAGTTTCACATATGTAATGTACTAGTTTTTCTCTTACAGTGAAATTACTAGAGATTTTGAAGACAAAACTGTCATAAGGACTTTAACAGTTGCAAAAGCCACACCAGAGGACTTGAAACGGAATTATACTTGCTATGCTAGAAATGCCAAAGGCGAGGACCATAGCCAGGCCATGGTGCGCATGAAAGGTAAAATACCTGCAGAGCACGGGTGTGAAATGAGGCATGTCCAGAGAGGAATGTCTCAGTCCTTGCCATACAAAACAGTAGGGGGACAAATAATTTCATCAAGCCTTTGTCCCTAGCCCATGCTGTCCTGTGTGCACTTCTGTGTTATTGCTGTCATCCTGCACCACATCTCGGAGGCAGGGAGCAAGGGACGTGTGTCACGTTTACCCTGCCATGGTCAAGTACCTGGGGGGAGAGAGGGGTGGATAGGCCTGTTGTTCTCATCCCATCCATGTACCACAACTGAAGCAGACCCGAAGGGATAGGCTGCTTGAAATAATTTCAGGTTACTTGATTGTGTGAGGGTTTTGTGGGATGCAGCAGCTACCAGTTGACATCCTCCAGAACGCAGACTGCACTCCTTGATGTTGCTCAGGAAGTGAGACAGTCAAACCATGACACTGTGTTTTTCTTTGTTGCTGTGATGATGCTCCAGTCTAGAGCCATCTCAGCATGGATAGTATGGACTGACCCAGCTCTGTTCAGTGTGGGTTTTTTCCTGCAGCTTTTGTTCATCAAAGATTTTGTACCTGCTTCCCAGACCCACCTCTCAGTAATAATAACTGAGCCTTCACTGTAAGTATGTGAGGTTTCCTGATTAAGGTGGATATTTCTGCCTCTTTATGAACCTCATCTGAAACTTCAACACCTGCTTACTGTAGGTTGGACCTTCCCTCCCCATAAGGAGTGCTGCCCTGCCTTGTGTAGCTCATGCTAGACACCACCTTCCCTCCACTCTGCCCTGTTAGCATGGGAAGCCTGACTGAGGTCTTTACTGGAAGAGCTCTTTCTTTTTCTTCTTGGTAACTGTACTCCTTCCTTTTTAGTCCCATTCTTTTGTGACAAACCATTGACAAACCATCATCAGGAAGGAACAACAGACCAAACACACAACTGAGAGAGGCAGAATCCATCTACCAGCGTGTTCATCCTACATACATAATTCTTCTGGGATGATGGTGTTTGTACACGTAGCAGAAGTGAATCTAAAATCTTCAGATTGTTTCTCTACACAGCAGTGCTTAAATGCTGTTTTCTAGAGGACTGATCTGCACTATCCTCTCTCTTCCTCTGTGTGCACTTGGGCAATTGAGTGGGTTTGCTCTGAGCAGACCTTGTTACTCACCACCCCTCCTTTCTCTTCTGTTCCACAGTAAAACCCAAGAACCATCTCCACCACTGCTAGCAAAGCAACTTTATGCTAAGCTCACTGCAGACAATCCCATTGCACATGGGAACATTAAGCATGCCAGAACTTAACCCCTCAGCACTTCTCTTCCAGTTTTTAGCAAGCAGCTATATATGTTGGCTCCAGCTCTTCCACTACATCAGTTTATGTATGTTTCCTGCTTTTTTCTGGATTGTTTCCTTCTCCATCTTATGTTGCTCCTTCTGTTGCTCATCACCTAATGAAAGTTGTTAAGTTCCTTCCATTTTCTTTTTTGTAAATCAGTTTCTAATAAAACTTCTTAAATCTTGGAATGTGGTGGTTTCCACTCACTACTGTTCTTTTATAATGCAGTTTGTCAGTGTGCATGTCAGCTGCCTCCTGAATTGCCATAAAAATGGAGTTGCTCAGGGAAACAGAACTGTTAGGTTCTGTCCTTAATACAAAGAAGCAGCTGTTGTGACAGACACTGAGTTGGAGGGCGAGCCTGTGGTGTTGTGGCTTGATGTCCACAGGTTGTCCTGTTTGTTTGCAAGCATTTCAGCTTTTCTGTAAAGAACTCCGATTCTTCTTCCCTGGTAGAAAACAATCAGACCACGGCTAGTTTATATCCTGGCTCTCACTCTGGGGCAAGCCACAAAAGCTGTGTGTGTTTTTCATGGGGAAGGAAAATATAGACCATTGCCTTTATTTGGCTGCAGGTGAGCTTTGTTCTCCTAGAAGTAAATGCTGTTGTGTTGCCCAAGACTTTGCATATACTGCCGAGAAGGCCATGTTCATGAGCTGGCTTTGGATCATGCAGGTGGTTTCCATCAACAGGTCATTCTTCTGTCTGGCTGCTCCCAGGGTCTTTCTCAGAGACAAAAATCCATCCTGAGCTTTGACTTGTTCTGTCAGCCCAACCAGACCTAGTGACCGAGAAAGGGAACTCCAGGGTGGCCAGCTATCATGTATCCTGCCAGAAAAGCCTTGGTTTGGCCACCTCCCTCTGAAGGGCCAACATGGCTCTTGGCGATTCCTCTGTGGTGTTTGGCTGCATGTGACACAAGCTTTTTCCTGATTAGCTGAAGGCCCTACCTCTTCTGTAAATCAGACCCCCTCTTTCTTTTTTGAACCCAGTTGTAGCACCGAAATACACCGTGGAGCTGGCCTGTGGACTGGGGGCAACCATCCTGCTCGTTGTGGTGTTGATAGTCATCTATCATGTTTATTGGCTTGAAATGGTCCTCTTCTATCGGGCTCATTTTGGAACAGATGAAACCATTCTAGGTAAGGAGTTAAAGGGCTTACATTTATTTTATCCTGCTACAGGCCAGACAGTTTTCAAACTGTCTGGAATTTTCATACAAGCTATTTTTAACACTCTTCACAGCATAATGACATCTTGGCCTTCCATTTCTCTACCTGCATTCAGTTGTGTGGATCATTTTAGAGTAAGAGGGAGTCAGGCTTGGGTCAGGGGAAAGCAGAGAGAAGTCCTCTGCATTCTCAGCAGAGGTGAAGCATGGACACATCAGGCTCCCTGGGACACTGCCCTGCTGATGGGTAGCTGTTTAATCCAATTTAAATGGTCAAGGTAAGTCACTGAGTTCCAGCAAGTCCCTGGTTATCTCTGGTGACTCTGTGTCTCAATTCATGAATCCAGGATTATTTGCTTTAAAATGTGGGAAGGTATTGAAAAGGATGCATCTGGAAATCACCCTTCTGTCCTCAGTTCTTCCACAGCTTCCCTGGGATACTGGGAGTTCACCTCCTGGGACTCTGAGCTGAGATTTCTTCCTCTGTAGGATGAGGAGGGTGTGGGAGCCCTTGCAGCTTGTGGTGTGAACCTGCCAAAGGGGTGTGATGGCTCCTGGAGGGTGTAGGCAGAGTGCAAGTCTCTGTCTGGTGTGACCGCTCATGCAGATAGACAGCAAGGAGAGGAAGCAACGTCAGAGGTATCAAAAGACAAAAGGATCCTGTGGATCCTTTGTGGACAGAATGCTGTGGTTTTGTGTGCCTTCAGCAACCCAGCAGTGTCTGAGTACCTGCACGTTCAGGCTGTGCAGACAGGGGTAGCACTGCTGTGTTTCAACTATGGAAATTGATGTGTTTTACCTTTGCGGCCAGAGCTCAAATCGAGCCATTGTATCTGCTTCTCCTGTGAGGCAAAGGCTCAGCATATGCAGGATCACAAGTGTCTCTTCTGCCCTTTGTTTCCCTGCACCCCCACACCCAGACGGGAAGGAGTACGACGTGTACGTGTCCTACGCACGCAACGCAGAGGAGGAGGAGTTTGTGCTGCTGACCTTGCGAGGAGTCCTGGAGAATGAGTTTGGGTACAAGCTGTGTATCTTCGACAGAGACAGCCTCCCTGGGGGAAGTGAGTATTTCACAGGGTGCTATGTTCCACGTGTGTCCTCTATTATTTTTTGTGGTGCTGATAGTTGATAGGAACTGGCCTATCCAGTTTAACTTTACTCTTTATTTTTTCCCATCTCCTTTAATAGTCTCTGGTATCTTCTAACACTTTTGCTTCACATAACAATGTTACAGATGCTCCAGGCCACCAAAAAAAGGCTGCAGTGGGGAAGTGGTGGTTATTGGTTGTTTCAGTTGCTCTCGCTAGGAGTGGTGTGGAGGAGTGATTGATCTATCAACATGAGGGACCTGGACCACTGACCTTCATGCGAGCCCTCTGAGCTGCTGTAGAAAAAGGGGACAAAGTCAAGGCTAGAAGGAAAAGAGGAAGAGAGAGTGGGATGCTGAAACAGACTGGTAGCTCTGAGAGAAACAGAGTAATGGTGAGTGAGTGCCTGTAAAAAACAGGAGTGTTTGCTTCAGGGAGGTGTGGAGAGCACCATGCCAACATCAGTGAGAAGAGTGCCCTCCTAGAAGGCCTCATTAATTACAGAGACTGTGTCTCACATGGCATGTAATCATGCTGTAATTAAGAGTGCTTTGTTGCAGATAGTGAGACTCACCTCCTCACTAAGCTGTAGATACCTTTTCCACTGTTTCAAGCTAAATTTGACAGAGCTCTGGACAGAGAGTCTGCTGCAGTGATGCAGGAAATCACCCAGAATGGAAGTTTGTGGAACTCTCCAGAGATGCAATCACACTGGTGTCACAACCAGGGCTCAAATCCAGCCAACACTCAATTTCCAGTGTCCTGGGGCCATATGATCCCTGATGCCTACTTAAAGTTTGAAGCCTGAACTTTTGCCTGTACAAACTGGCCCACTTTGAATTCATGGGCTTTGTGCCAGGACCCAGCTGATAAAGTCCACTGAGGTTGCTTTTTGGAAGGATAGGAGGGACAGCTGGAGTCCCAGCCCAGCTACATGAGAGAGCAGAATAAGTTTGGCATCTCCTAGATCATTGCCAGGACACAGCAACTCTAAGTCTGAAGGCAAATAAATGTGTGCCTCAGGGAACAGGGAGACATCTGCAATCCTGGTACTGTTCCCTCGAGAGAGAGCCTGGATGACATGGCAGGGCACTCTTCAGGCTCTCTTTGCTTGATGCCAGTGGTAGGCTCAGAGCTGGTTTGCTCTAAGCTGTTCTCATCTGTTGCTTCTCTAGACTAACATCTCCCTCCTGTTCTCTCTGCTGTTTCTTGCCATCCTTTCCCTTTGGAGGGTCTTATTTTCCTCCCAGCATGGCTTTCTTGGGCTCCACACCCTTCACCCTCCTCCCAGGAGTGCTCCCATCTGCTTTCTGTGACAACTACTACCAGCCTCAATCCACCTCCAGCCCTCTGGAGCACTGTGGGGGTGGCTTATCATTGCACCCCATTTTCAACACTGCTGAGGCTTCCCTGTTGCTTCTTAACTAGGACTTTACTAATCTCCTTCATAGGGAAGCATGGCAGGCTGGAAAATAGCTTTTGGCAGCTGTTGTCTTGCTTCCAGAGTGTGTGTATGTGTCATGGGTAGAGAGTTATGTTGTCCTTGATGAAGAAACAGTGGGGGATGGATTATCCTGTGAGTTTGCTGACAGCAACTAATCAAACGTGCTTGACAGCTACATTAAGTTGTCTGTCAGTGTTATTTTATTCTCCATTGTATTTTTGACCAGTCAAGAACATTCCTTTGTCAATGAAGTGTGGGAGATCCTGCAGCAGAGGGTAAAAGCACCAGGATTCACACGTACAAGGAATTTTCACATTAATTATAGAAAAGCGCCCAAGGACAATCTACCTGGAGATGTTAGAGAATCAGAGAGGATCTGCACTTACCATGACATGTCTTCAGCTTGAAGAGTGTCACTCTTGGGGCACGTCATGAAAAGTCATAAGAGCAGTTTACTTGTCACTTCTTGAATCTGCTTTCATCAATGATAGCAGCAGGAAAAGCTGGATGAGTAGCAGGAGTTAGGATGGTAGGATCTCCAAAGCAAATTAACCTATGAGGACACTCGGGGAGGACATGGATACTTATTTTGTGTGCTTAGTGTGAGGAAACCAGGGCAAGAGGAACAAAAGGATTACCCAGAGTCATTCTGGACACCTGTCAGTGGATGTTAGTGTAAGCATTCAGGCTTCCCAACATCTCTTTAGGCTCAGTCTTCTCCTTGAGGTCATGTGTTGTCCAGCTGTTTCCTGCTTTGCTCCAGAGAGTCTCTTGCTGCTGTCACTAGAAGGAAGCTAAATCTGAGCCTATCAGAGCAGCCCTCTTGGCCACACTGCATCCTCATTGCTTAGGTGGTGTCACTGCCACATCACACTGCTATTTAGAGGTAACTACCTCAGGCATCTCCATGTAGCATGGAGAGGAAGAAAAACATCTGTAGGTAAGCCTGGGACTGGGAGTACAAGATGTCACTGTATGAGGCAGTGGGTACCAGCCATGGTGTCAGAGGTCCTACCTGCAATTGCTTGCAGGGTTGGGAAGCACCAGTATAGTCTCTAGAGAGGGCCTCCAAGGGATGTTACCATCCCCTTCAAGAGACCCCTAGTGTCACACTAGTGGCTCAGCAGCATGTTCTTGGTCATCACTAACCACTTAAATGTTTCTTTCTCCCAGTTGTCACAGACGAAACCCTGAGCTTCATCCAGAAAAGCCGACGTCTGCTTGTTGTCCTGAGCCCCAACTACGTCTTGCAGGGGACACAGGCCCTGCTGGAGCTCAAGGCTGGTCTAGAGAATATGGCCTCCAAGGGCAACATCAAAGTCATTCTAGTGCAGTACAAAGCCATCAAGAAGAGCAAAGTGAAGGAGCTGAAGCAGGCCAAGGCGGCCTTGACTGTCATTAAATGGAAAGGCGAGAAATCCGAATTCCCAAAGGGCAGATTCTGGAAGCAGTTGAAAGTGGAAATGCCAGTGAAAAAAAATAGCAGGAGTGTGAGCCTTGATGGGCTCATACGTATCCCTGAAAAATGTTTTACACCATCAGAAAACAAAACAAATCAAACTGCAAAATTCCACAAGCTAGGCCAGGAAGTGGGAAGGAACTCAGGATTTTTGCCTTGAAGGACTGTGTCCCAAACACTACAATTTGGAATCTATGCACTGTTCCCAAGCATTTCAGAGGACAGTCATGCCTCCCTGCAGCTTTTCTACTGCCCTGGCAGTAGAGAGACCAAAGATGTATACACCTTCTCTCTGCAGCCAGCACCTTGTGATAGCATGGTATTTGTATAGGCCAGTACTCCTAGATCCAGTTCCTATGGGACCTTCATTGCCATCCAGGACAGAGTTTTCCTCTCCTAGGAAGCTTCACTCCTTCCTGATTGTTGGTCCCTATTGTAGAGTCTGGGGAACATTTTGAAAGGTGGCTCCAACCTAGAGCCTTTCACACATGTCCCAGCCATGTAGTCCTTACCACTGTGGGATCACAGATTTCTGCTTCAGTGGGGGAGTGTGGACTCTTAAGGCTCCTCATCTTTGCTCCCTCTGTTTCTGTAAGCACAGGTGCATTCAGATAGTTCTGCAATGTGAAATGGCTCTTGCAAAAGCATTACAAAACAGTTCCCCTCAGTTCAAGAAGGACAGGGAACTGCTTGAAAGAGTCCAGCGCAGAGCTACAAAGATGGTGAAGGGAGTGGAACATCTCCCTTATGAGGAAAGGCTGAGGGAGCTGGGTCTCTTTAGCTTGGAGAAAAGGAGACTGAGGGGTGACCTCATCAATGTTTACAAATCTGTAAGGGGTGAGTGTCAGGGAGATGGAGTTAAGCTTTTCTCAGTGATGACCAGTGATAGGACAAGGGGGAATGGGTGCAAATTGGCGCATAGAAGGTTCAAGGTGAATATCCGAAAAAATTTTTTTACTGTGAAAGTGACAGAGCACTGGAACAGACTGCCCAGGGGGGTTGTGGAGTCTCCTTCACTGGAGACATTCAAAACCCACCTGGATGCGTTCCTGTGTGATGTGCTCTAGATGACCCTGATCTGGCAGGGGGGTTGGACTAGATGATCTTTTGAGGTCCCTTCCAACCCCTAGGATTCTATGATTCTTCTAGATATCATTTGTGTTGTAGCATTTCTACTAGTAAGTGGTCTGGGACTCTGTGATCTCCTGAGTACCCCAGATCTTTCAGGGCTGTAATGCTTGGAATCCAGGGGTGATCCAGGGGTGATTAGTGCAAGCCATGGAGAATGTCTGAGAAATGCTTTTCTGTAGAGTAAACTCAGGGACTTCACAAACACTGCAAGGAACCCCAATTTACTGTTGAACCCACCTACTGTCTCTGTGCTGCTGGCTTGGGAAAACATAGTGTGAGGTGCTGCCTTTGGGATGACATGATATATGTTCAGCTCCCAGGAAACTCTACAAACTTAAAAAAACCTACTAGCTCTGTCCAGCTGGGTGAGACTATGAGGGAAGGCTGAGAGAGTTGGGGTCATTCAGCCTGGAGAAAAGAAGGCTCTGGGGAGACCTTATGGTGGTCTTTTGATACTTAAAAGGGTATTTACAAGAAAGATGGAGACATACTTTTTAGCAGGGCCTGTTGTGAAAGGCTAAGAGGTAATGGTTTCAAACCAAGAGAGGGTAGATTCAGATTAGATTTAAGGAAGAAATTTTTTACAGTGAGGATGGGGAAACACTGCAACAGGTTGCCCAGAGAGATGGTAGATGTCCTGTCCCTGGAAATATTCAAAGTCAGGTTGGATGGGGCTCTGAGCAATGTAATGTAGTTGAAGATGGCCCTGCCCATTGCAAGGAGGGTTGGACTAAATGACCTTTAAAGGTCCCTTTCAACCCAAATTGTTCTATGATTCTGTGAAGAGTCAGTGTTCTCTGCTTGGGTATGAACAACATCATGTAATTCAACAACATTTGTAATTCAGGGCTTAGGTTTAAACTAGCTTTGTCTTTACAAAGCAAGTCTCCACCCATCTTGTTTCCAGCTCAGGGCTGTAGAACAGAGCGTGTATCTCAGCTTCTGTAACCCTTGCACAAAATAGAAGTATAAAAAAAACACTGGGTACCAGTCCTTGCTTGACTGGGACAGAGCAGACATAAGAGAGTTAGGCAGACAGGCTTTTCAGACCAAGGAGGGGAGCATCTCTTCCCTTGCAGGACAGACCAAAGCACAGCAGGACCTTGGCATTGACTGGTGCTGTTGTTTACAATGTTTTAATGTAAAACTACAAGCTCTGGGGGTGCCTCCATACTCCTATAGCTCCCAATGCAAGGGCCTGCTCACTTTATTGTAAAATTCAGTGTTATGCACCCTAAGTGCATGATTATTTTTTGTCAATGGTGGTTGCTTCTGAGTCACCTCTGACTCATGCTTTCTGTGGGTGTGCAGTGGCTGAAGCACAGCCATTCATAATGGTATTAAAAAGCACTACAATTTGGAGTCTATGCACTGTTCACTCAGCTGAGCAGGGAGGTTCAAGGGGATCCCAGTAAGCAGCCCAGAATTAAAGGTGCGGGGCTGAATCCTGGCATCTGCAAAGCCCCTCACTCTTAGTGTCTTATGATTACTAATGTTATTCCAGGGCAGTGGGGGGCAACAGCCACCCATGCCATTGGGCAGGTACTGTACAAATGTGGAACAAGTAAAGCTTCTTTCTCACCTTCCTCTTCATCCTTCTTCCCCCCCCAAGTAAGCTTTGCTTTAAGCATATAAAGTTGCAGTTGGCTTTAGTGAAGGCAGTGGAGCTCCTCATCTGCTCAGAGGTGTTTAAAAGCTTCACTGTTAGTAGCTTTTATACTGTAGCTGTCTGTGGAGGGGCAGAGTTGCTTCCTATGCTCCAGAAAGTTTCATTTGTTCAAGGTAGCACCCCAAAATCATGCTGAACTCTGTGAAGCCACTGTGATTGCATTGTTTTGCCCAGCTTCACCTTTTTATATGTGGTTTCAGCATCCCTACAATCAGCTGCTAGATCTGCAGGCAGAAAAAAAAGCCCTGACGCCAAAGCAGAACTGTGTTAGATTCCAATTTAATCAACTAAAAAATACACATAAATTCAACTAACAACCTAGATCTCAAAACACTCCATCTCACTCTTGGCTGAGGTACCAAGGGAACTTCTGATCTTTTAGGTAGTCTGATTATTTTAGGAAGTTAAATCCACCTAATTTATTTTGCTGATTTTATTCATAGTTTTCCAAATAAACATTGGACCTCTCTAGCATGCTTTGCAGTGGCCCTTTTTTTGCATTGCAACCCTAGAACAGGATTACAGAGAGACATCAGAAGAGCACACACAAGGCAAAAGGTGCAACAGTCTGAATGAAACTTGGGAGGTCCAGAGGGAGCAGCATGGAAGGAATAGCACTGGAGCAGGCTCTGCTCCCCTGGGAGCTTTACTACTGGCTTTTCTGGGAGCTGTCAGGCCAGGCGTAAACACCAGTCCCAGCTGTGATGCAGATGTGTGAAGCACCTCATATCCACCTGCCATTTCATCCTGTGCTACATGTGGTTTCTGTTATGGGATTCTGTTACAACATCTGTCTAGTTCAGTTGATCCATTTGAGTTTGTGTGCTTCAACCTAATGTTTGTCAACATGCAGCTGATACAAAGTTCCTCATTGTTATGTCACGGGGAAACAGTGTGGCACAAAGTGTAAAAAGTATCTTCCCCCCATGCCGTTTGATGCTGTACAGCTGTTCCAGAGTTCTCCCTTCTCTTTTCTGTATGTTTTCCTTTGTGTTATTTTGTCTGTGAAGTGTCAGTATTATTTGATTTTGCTTTTCAATAAAACATTTCCACTTTTGCATTTCAGTTCTTGTGCATTTCTCATAAGTATCATTTTCCTCCCCCTTATGTCTGTGAAAGGCCATTAAGGAAAGATGACTGTGTTTAGTCCAAGCATCAAGATCTTTTGAAGACACCTTTTTAGAGGGGGGCATTTTCCTGGCTGTTTCATGCTGTGCCTGCAGAGATGCTGAGGCACCATCACTGCTACCAGGGCCATGCAAGCAGAAACAGTGACACACAGCACTCAGATGTCACCCAGCAGTGGACGTGCACACACAGAAAGTCTGATTGCTCTCTTGGCAATCACAAGGTAGAAAGATGGGAAGGAAATGCCATCCCTTTGCTTGAGAGCCCAAGCCAGGGTGTTGAACTGAAATCTTGGAAATCTGCCCTAACCACAGAAATCAAACTCACTCTCAGGCTGCTTTGCTCATCACCTCCCAGGAAATTGGCTTTTCCCCTTGTTTATATGCTAGTAGGTAAGTTGAGAGAGAGTCGAGTGCTTCCAGACTATTAGGAAAATGAATACTTGTGACAATCTGTGGATTTGGATCCATGGGGATGGGATCTATGACCCCCCAGCTTTTACTGGGCTGAGACAAATGTGTGGCTCTTATAATCCTCTGTTACATCTCTGGGGAACAATATGTGAAACACAAATAAACCAACAAAAATATGCAGTGTCCTTCATAACCATGTAGTAAAGATGGAAGTTTTTTAGTATAGAGTATCCAAGAGTATTGAATTTCCAGCTCTGTTGGTACTCAAACCCCCAGGGCACTGTTACTGGTGCCTGACCCATCCCCTGCTGTTGGTGTCACCGGGAGGAACCGTCCTGCCTGCACGCTGTGAAGTGACCACTCAGGATTTTCTGTGATCTGAGATTACATTGGAAACTAAACATTCCAAGATATCCTGGTCAGCCAAATCTAAAATCATCAGATTCTCAGAAATAAAATCTGTGAGGATGTGATCATTTTCCTCTTTCAACAAAATGTCAATTCTTAAGAAGTGTTGCAAATTCAAAATTAGTAGAAGAAAACCCATCACTGCCAGCTCAATCAAAACATTTCACTTTGGCAGTGTTGGAATCATTCACATGAATTGAACGTGGGCTTTTTGAGCAGGCAGGTAGAATAGGTGACCTCCCAAGGGCTGCTCCTGCCTGCATTTCACTGTGGTTCTGTAATTCCAGTTTCAAAAAGACCTTTCAAACCAGCAAAGGAGCTTTTTCTTTCACAAAATGTTGAAATTTGGCTGACTTCAAAATAGATCTCAATCAGTTGTAGAAAGGTTTGAATGAGGTCTGGACTCAGTAA